GGGGGACGACGACGAGGATGATAAAAGGGGGCACGATTTGGCCGCCCTTCTCAGTTCAGCCGTCTCCGTCAGGGGACCTGGCGACAGAAGCAGCAGTCATCCAATTGAGGGGTGCTGTGGAGCGATCGCCGCATGCATGTATGTATGTTTGCCATCGCAGTGTACGCATTTGCGTGTCCCTCATGGATTTGCTGTGTTCGCATACCTCTGCCATTTTCATTCCAGTCCAGGCGAGTCCCAGCAGAAGCGGAACGGTGAAACGCGTACTGAAAAAGGCACGAGACTGAGAGCGCCATACGAGGAGGAGGAGGAGGAGGAGGAGGCGGAGAAGGAGGAGGAGGCGGGGAAGGAGGAGGAGGAGGAGGAGAAGGAGGAGGAGGAGGAGGAAGAGGAGGAGGGCGGGGGCACCTCGAGCGCAGAGGCGCCAATCTGCAACCCGCAGGCGGCAGCGCGGCAGCACAGCACGAGCACGCCGCTCTTCTCCGCGAGCTGACCGACACCGTCGACGACGAAGATGGTCGAGGGAGGGGAAGCGGTTCGGAGGCGAGCGAGGGGGAGAAGTGAAAAGGACAAGGCCTTCTTGAAGGCGGCGGGACTTCTCAGAAGCCCCCCCCAGCCCTCTGAGAAGCTATTTGCGTCTTCGGGGAAGACCGGTAAGCTTCTCAGAAGGCCGGGAAACTTCCGAACCTTCTGAGAAGTCCCGCCTCCTCTCACTTCCCCCCTGGGCTGACTGCTGAGAGGTGGAGACGCTAGACCTCCAAATGTCGACGTGCTTGCGCTGGCCAATGTCCTCGGCCTCGTCCCCCTCCTGTCGGGGGGGGGGGAGGCGGCCAAGTTCAAGTGGATGCCCGAACTGGAGGTGGACAGCTCGTGTCACGCGCGCGATGTAGAGTGCTCCGACTGACCTGAGATCGAGAGAGTGAACAGCGCCCTACGCCCGCACACCTGCGCGCCCGCGCGCCGCACGCCCGTGCACTGCCATCTGCAAAGGCCGCTTGCTCAGGTGCGCCACAGAAGGGCAGGTGATGTGCTCGCCATCGCTCGGACGCCCATTCCCCTTGCACTTGTCGATGTCGCGCGCATATGTTTCGCAAGGTCGCAACGATCAAGGAGGCTCCTCGATGGCTCTCGCCGAGGAAGCGATGCCAAGTGTTCTAGAGGCCGCCCATGCGGGGGGGGAGCACTCCGAATCCCCAATGAAGGCGAGGGGTCACAAACCTCCCGACGAGCAACTTTAGACCCCCCCCCAACCAGCCACGAAGGGGCGGCGTCTTGCCCAGACCCCCTGGAACCTTCGAAAACACTTCTAATTAGACCCCCTCACAGATCAGACCATCGCCCTTTCATGGTTAAATCATGGATAGATGGGGCCGGAGAATCGCGCCGCATCGTCAATGTATCACCAGTGCATCGGCGGCGCATCGACGGCGTTGACGATGGATCGGCGACGTCGGCATGGATCAAACAGGGCTCCACATCGAGCAGCATCGCCGATGCATCGGCGATGCGGCGCGACCCTCCGACCCCATCTACTCTGACCGCATCTGAAGGCCTAGGTGTTCCACATCAGTTATGTAGAAAGTCCTGGAGACCTCGTACTGCAAGTTGAAACCAGGTATACATAGGATCCACGTCTGATTAGCGTCGGACTTACTTCGGATTCACGTGGGATGTGCGTTGGACTTACGTCGGAACATCGCCACGCGAACGTCATCCTATACCTGACGAGGCGGACGTGTGGACTAGCTCATACATCTATTGCGCGCCGCGCGAGGCCTCCAGGATTTTCCGCAAAAGCACGGGCGGCCGACAGAAAAAAATGCGCAGGCAGGTGTTCTTCGGAGACGGGCACAAGAAGCTGGACAACAACCGCGGGGGAACAATTATCCTGGCGAAAGAACCAACCGTATGCAGTTGTGAGTACCGCGTTGTGGCCATCAGTTTCGGTGGAGCTCCCCATGGGGCCACGAAGCGTGTGAAGGGGGTGCTGACATGGGTGGCGAACCGCATACGAACTGCGCCACGGAGGCCCTCCTCCTCCTCCTCCTCCTCAACCTCCTCCTCCTCCTCCTCCTCCTCCTCCTCCTCCTCCTCCTCCTGCTCCTCCTCCTCCTCCCCCTCCTCCTCCTCCTCCTCCTCCTCCTCCTCCTGCTCCTCCTCCTCCTCCTCCTCCTCACCCTCCTCCTCCTCCTCCTCCTCCTCCTCCTCCTCAAGCAACCCAGGCCCAGGCTTCCCTTGCCCCGGGCCGGCTCCAGGACCTCCGCGCGGTGCTTGGGGGATTTCGTCGCAGCTGTCGCATGTTCGGCCGCCTTTGACGTTAACAAACACTGGAGTTTCAAACGGTGCTACGGGATGGGTGCCGGAGAGTGGCGCCCAAGGCTCACCTCGAAGGAGCGCAAGGCCCGGCGAGCGTGGGCACAGTGGTCGGCTGAGCGAGCCATCCACCGCCTAACCCGCGAGGTGGAGCAGCTCCGCAAGATGCAGTATATGGACCCCAACGTCGTCAGCTACAACGTTGGGAGCAGCGAGCGGGAGCAATATGGACAGTGGGAGCATCCGCAGGACACGGCAGGAACGTGGGGGTCAGAACGGCAGTGGCAGCAGCGAGCAGAGCCGGAGGCGAAGCTCGAGTCCAATGCCATCAGCTACAACGACGAGGCTATGTCGAGTGACGGGAAGGTCGAGCCCGACGTCATTAGCTACAGACCAGAGGACGGTGCATACGAGAAGTCTTGGATGACGGCAGTGGCAGCGACGAAGCACGAGCCCAATGTCATCAGCTACAACGACGGTGCATGCGAGAAGTCTTGGATGGGGGCAGTGGTGGAGCCGATGTTCGAGTCCAGCGCCATCAGCTACAACGACAAGGCTGTATCGCATGACGGGAAGGTCAAGCCCGACGTCATCAGCTACAGACCCGAGGGCGGTGCATGCGAGAACCCCTGGATGGCGGCAGTGGCGGAAACGAAACACGAGCCCAACGCCATCAGCTACAACGACGGGTTTGCGTCGCGCGACGCCAAGGTCGAGCCCGACGTCATCAGCTACAGACCCGAGGGCGGTGCATGCGAGAAGTCTTGGATGGTGGCAGTGGCGGAGATGAAACACCAGCCCAATGCCATCAGCTACAACGACGGTGCATGCGAGAAGACTTGGACGGCGGCAGTGGCGGAGACGAAGCACGAGTCCAATGCCATCAGCTACAACGGCGAGGCTGTGTCGCGTGACGGGAAAGTCGAGCCCGCCGACATTAGCCACAGACCCGAGGACGGTGCATGCGAGAAGTCTTGGATGGCGGCAGTGGCGGAGACGGAGCACCAGTCCAATGCCATCAGCTACAACGACGGTGCATGCGAGAAGTCTTGGACGGTGGCAGTGGCGGGGCCGAATTTCGAGTCCAGCGCCATCAGCTACAACGACGGGACTGTGTCGCGTGATGGGAAGGTCGTGCCCGACGTCATCAGCTACGGACCCGAGGACGGTGCATGCGAGAAGTCTTGGATGACGGCAGTGGTAGTGACGAAGCACGAGCCCAATGCCATCAGCTACAACGACAAGGCTGTGTCGCATGACGGGAAGGTCAAGCCCGACGTCATCAGCTACAGACCCGAGTACGGTGCATGCGAGAAGTCTTGGATGTTGGCAGTGGCAGAGACGAAGCACGAGCCCAACGCCATCAGCTTCAACGACGGGGATCGGACTCGCGGTGCGAAGGTCGAGCCCGACGTCGTCAGCTACAGAAAAAGAAAAATCACTGAGTCAGACGTGGAAGCGTTTCTCCGCGAGCGAGCTGCAGAACAGAAGGAATTTGAAGATAAATGCATCACACGAGCCATGAGACGGAAATCCCAGCCTTTCGTGCGACGCGTTGCACACCTGGCGGCCGCATCACAAGGCAGTAATGGGAGATGGATTCACACACAGGTTGGAGTCGGTCGTACTCAACGTTACGAATGGAAATGGGAGTCTACAAGCGGCAACACACCGACGAAGCAGGACGGCGGCAGTGAGGTTGGAGACCTTCTCTCAGCTCTCGGTGCAGCCATTTCCTCAGCGTCGACGCGTTGAACCACTCCCTGCTGTCGAAGGCCTTCTGAGTGGAAGGTGGAACCGCACCGTGCGGTCTCGAGTGGAATATATCGCTACGCGATCAGGCAGAGACTCCAGAGACTCCTCCTCCTCCTCCTCCTCCTCCTCCTCCTCCTCCTCCTCCTCCTCCTCCTCCTCCTCCTCCTCCTCCTCCTCCTCCTCCTCCTCCTGACGACGCGATAACAAGCGCCAAAAATACTCAACAGGGAACGCTCGCCCATGAGCTGGAAAGTACAGTGACCAAGGAAACGCTCCAGCATCACCCCGGTCACCTTCGGCCTGCGAGCCAACCAGCGCCCCGCTGTCGCCAGCCGAGCAGCGCGCTTAGCCGCAGGCCCGACCTCACCCGTCAAGCCGTCCACCGCGAAGCGCAAGCTCTCGGCCCACGGAGCAGCGTCCCCCTCCTCGTGGACCGCGAAGCCATCCTCGACCAGCTGGCGGGCGACCGCGATGCGCGCACCGTTGGCTAGCTCGGGCGAGCCCGCCCCGGTGGCACGGTTGTCGCAGTAGGGGAGCGAGACCAGGCCGCGCTTGCCAATCAGGGGGCCAGGCTTGCGGCCCTGCAGCACCAAGCCCGCGAGGTCCGGGAGCGCGCCCTTCACGACCGAGGAGTGCGCCAGCTGCGCGAGGTAGAAACTCCACCTGAAGCCCACGGGCAGCACGCGGAAGGCAGGGGCCACCGCGTCACGAATGTAGAAGTCGCTGCAGGTGCGGTGGCGACCATCGAGCTCGGCAACGAGCCAGCCAGGCACATCGCCCAGGCAGAAGTAGCTGGAGAGCTCCTCATCGACGCCGCAGGCGTAGAGGTAGTCCTTGATGCCCGAGAGGCTCACCCAGAGGTCGGCGCCCTCCCCCAGTCGGATCTCGCCCCAACTGGCGCCCGTCCCCATCGGCAGGCAAGGGCGCCGCCGACAACGCCTGTAGGTGGCCCGACAGTCAACCACCAGTCTCTGTTTCCCAGACTTCGTGGCCACGCAGAAGACAGTCACACGCCCACGCACCACTGGCGCCCAGCGAAGGAGCCCAGCAGCATGGCAATCCCGAATACACTGATAGTAGGCCTTCTTCGAATGTCGAAGTTTCGAATCCATGCACAACTCGATGGGATCCTACTTTTCACGCACGGCCCCCCACTCCTGATCATCAAACAGAGTGCTGCTGAGGTCCTCGAGAACACAGCGAGCCTTCGGCGGCAGCATCTCCTTGACAGGGGCGGGCCCCGCCCCGACGTGCGGGATGCTAACGAGGCTCCGGTCGTAGGACTGCGCCGAGGTCGACTCGCCGCCGCACGCGGAGTCTGTCCCGAGGAGCGCGCGAACGGCCCCCTCGGAGTCGAAGTCACCTCGCGGTACTTCGGCAGAGTCACGCACAGACCGAATGAATTGAATGGTCTCCCTCTGAGCAGCAGACGGCGGCGCCCAGCTGAAGGCGAGAAATGACATCACGAGCACTCAGGACACAAATCGTTCGGTTCACCTCCGAGTCGATCGCCGCCCTCTTCAAAACTCGCCGCTGCACCGATTGGCTCACGCGGTGGTCTCTGTGCTGCTCCACCTCAACCATCGGCAAGGGAAACAGTTCTCATTGTACTCTATGGGGCACGTGGGGCTCCTCCGAAGAAACCGCGCCAGCTGCCGGAGCCCCCGCACAAACGGCTGGTCGAGGCGAGACGGTCATGACGCCCCCGCGCCGGAGGCGCCGGCGCCCGCATCGCCCTGTCCACCTTCACAGCCGCCACAGCGGCCCTTCGGCTTCCTGAAGCGGACCTCCTCCTTCCGCTTGCGGCCCTCCTTCAGAGCAGCAGCACGGTCCCGAACGGCGTCGGCAGCTCGCCCCTTGATGGAGGGACCAACGAGAGCGGGACCACGATGATTACCCCATACCATGAAGTTGACTGAAGCACTGTAATCTGGATCACTGGGATTACACACATGCGCTTGTCCGATGAGCTGCAATCGTCGGCCGAGCAATTCGAAAGAAGACAACGTCATGACACTCAATCGATCCAACTCTACAACCAGGTCGAACACTTTCGAAATCAAGCAATGCACGTGGGTACTGCGATCGTCCGAGGGGATGCCACTAGCAGAGAGCCAAGTATGAGGCCGCGGCAACATCCCACGCGAAGACTGAACAACCTCCGTCAGCAACCATGGCAAACGGGCCTCCCCCTGGAGCGGTGAATCGCCGAAGTCGGGATGCTCCTGCATGCTCACCGCCTTGCAGAAGTTGCGGCCCCTCTGCCGCGCCGTCCTCCACGACACAGGGATCACCCGCACGTCCGTCTCCTGGTCCTTGAGCAGCCTCACCGTGCCCATATCAAGCCAGACTTCCAGTAGCATCAAATACTCGGCCAGGCGCTCGACGATCCAGTGACCGCCCAGCCCCACCGCCATATCACCAGGCTGGTAAACGCACTCCTTCTCCGCCTCTGGGCCGCCCTTCCCCGACGAACCGATGACCCGCAGGACGCGGCCAGCCGCTGGCGCAGGCGGAGGTCCCAATCGAAAGACTCGAGCCTCCTGGTCCAAAGCGTGCTGCTCGACCCTGGCGTCACTGATGGCCTTCTGACCACACAGAGGAGTATGCGTCCCAGCTGACCTGTTAACGCGGAAAGAATACGCATGGGCCTGCACCGGCGGAGGGGGCGGCCGCACTTGATGCTGAAGATGAAGGACCTCCGCGTCGTCGTGGACGCTGATACCCTCCAGCGGAAGGGCCGCCAACTCCTCTGGATAACCGTCCCCGCCCGGGGTGAACACCCACAGAACTGTGCCTCCCTTGGCGCGGCGCTCCCCCGTGCAGCTGAGCGCCGCCTTCTCGGTCAACGACAACAGCGGGCTGCACTTGTGCCACGAAGGGGTGAAGCCGGCGGCGAGTCTGGCTGATAGTACAGGCTGACCTTGCGACCCGTTTCGAGACTGCTGCCCGCCCTCGATGCGAGCCTCCACGATGTGGTCGCGCGAAGCCCTCCGCAAGCGACATCGCGAGTACTGGGTGACGGCCCTCAGGACGAAGACGACGAGCAACCCTGTGATCATGCCACCGCCGAACGACACAGACACGAAGGAGCAGGCGGGGTCAACGCCCGTCAAGCACGGGTAGGCAGCAGTTTCCCACGCGGACCGACAGCTATTCTCGGAAGCGAGCGGGAACTGGGAGGCGGTCCAACCAAAACCTGCCTGCACCGAGCTTCGGGCAGCTCAGAGCAGCGTGACTTGAGCCGTCAAGGTCACGGCCAAGTGGCGCCTCAAACCAGCCTCACGACCACTCCCTACAAGTAGAATCATCATCACCATCATCATCATCATCATCATCATCATCATCATCATCATCATCATCATCATCATCATCATCATCAGCAGCAGCAGCAGCAGCAGCACCAGCATCATCATCATCATCATCATCATCATCATCATCATCAGCAGCAGCAGCAGCAGCACCATCAGCATCATCATCATCATCATCAGCAGCATCATCATAATCATCATCATCAGCAGCAGCATCATCATCATCATCATCATCAGCAGCAGCAGCATCATTATCATCAGCAGCAGCATCAGCAGCACCAGCATCATCATCGTCATCAGCATCAGCATCATCACCATCAGCAGCAGCATCATAATCATCATCATCATCATCATCATCATCATCATCAGCAGCATCATCATCAGCATCAGCATCAGCATCATATTCATCATATTCATCATCATCATCATCATCATCATCATCATCATCATCATCGTCGTCAGCGACATCATCATCATCATCATCAGCATCATCATCATCATCAGCATCATCTTGATCATCATCATCGTCATCATGATGATCATTATCATCATCAGCATCGACATAATCATCATCATCGTCAGAATCAGCATCATCAGCAGCAGCAGTATCATCAACGTCAGCATCACCATCATCATCATCATCATCATCACCAACATCATCATCAGCATCATCATCATCAGCAGCAGCATCATCAGCATCATCATCATCAGCATCAGCATCAGCATCATCAGCATCATCAGCATCATCAGCATCATCAGCAGCAGCATCAGCATCATCATCATCATCATCATCATCATCAGCAGCAGCAGCAGCATCATCCCCCTTCTCATCCTCCCCCTCCCCCTCCTCCTCCTCCTCCCCCTCCCTCCCCCCCTCCTCCTCCTCCCCCCTCCCCCCCTCCTCCCCCTCACCCTCACCCTCCCCCCTCCCCCTCCTCCTCCTCCTCCTCCCTCCTCCCTCCTCCTCCTCCTCCTCCTCCTCCTCCTCCTCCTCCTCCTCCTCCTCCTCCTCCCCCATCCTCCGCCCACACACCAAGGCCGCCCTGGAGGCACCGCATTCCCCGGCGCGGCGGGACAACGCTCCAGCTCAACCAGGTGCATCTGCACGGGCCCGCCGGTGGAGTAAGTCCATGTCGGCTTGGACTCGTCCTCGGTGCGCCGACGCCGCCGTCCACGCCCCCTCTCCTTCTCCTCCTTTTCCTCCTCCTACTCCTCCTCCTCCGCCTCCTCCTCCTGCTCCTCCTCCTCCTCCTCCTCATCATCATCATCCTCCTCTTCCTCCTCCTCCTCTTCCTCCTCCACATATTTGCATCAGCCGCATCATCAACATCATCATCAGCATCATCATCAGCATCCGCATCATAATCAACATCAGCATCAACAACAACATCATCAGCAGCAACAGCATCATCATCATCGTCGCCATCATCATCAGCAGAAGCAAAAGCAGCATCACCATCATCATCATCGCGACGCTGAGACAAGCCAGGACATTTTGTGTCTCGGGCCAAGCGGGTCGAGCAGGACAGGACGGGCCACGCTCCTTTTAATAGCCAGATATAATCCAACGAGCATAACAGCTTGCTGAGAACGCAGGCGTCGTATATGGAGCATATGCGCGTCCATCCGATTGAAGCGTGCGACCAAATCTTGGATCGCGAATTGAATGACCCAGTGGCTTCTCCTTGTCTGCGCGATAATTATGCTGATGCTTTTGCGTCACACGTAATAAGCCCACCCAGGTATACTGCGTCTCGTACTCTTATGATTTCACCCCCATGTGGCTGAAATGTAATTGCATTAGTGTTTATCTGCAAGTGCAGTCTTCACCCAGATCAGTTTCAGGCCATATGTTGTGCCTTCGGTCGCGATCGTTTTCGACATGTTCTGGAGGTTGAGGCTGCTCTGCGAAACTGAAAGCGCGTCGTCCGAAAACAATGTATATCCCGCGTCACAATGTACTCCGGGTCAGAGTCGTACTGGCTATCGTTCAGCACGTCGCGCAGCATAACTGACTGAACTGCAAAGAAGAAGTAAGGTGATGAGCAATCCCAACCCTCTGTTGTCTTTGTGTAGAGTTCGGTGTGGTCCACGATATTGCAATAGCGAGCAGCAAAAAATATATCCAACCAAGGCCACCATATCAGCTGGGAGCCCACAGCGGCGCAGGGCTTTAATCGGGCAAGTAAATTTGCCCAGTCCAACATGACCAAAAGCACGCCACCGCCGTTGTTGAAGTAAGCAGCATCAATCATGCGGCTGATGAGCATCTAGGCGTCAGACGTGCCCCGCTTGGGTCTGAGACCAAATTGGGACGCACGCTCTTGACTCGGATGCCAAAATGATGTACCCTACCGCTAGCAAAGATCTTGGCTGGTAGTTTGATGGCAAAGCTGTGTCTCCCTTTTTGAACAACAGAATTACAGATGCCCGTCTCCAAGGAGTCTTGGATTTATTTTTCTGCGCAACATTGCTGGCATAATCAAAGCAACTTCTCGCCCGCATCCGGACAACTGGTCCAGGAGCCTTGCCACGTCGTACTTTGACTGCTGCTGCAGATAGTTCCGGAAGCGTAAAATCTTTTGGGAATCGGGAACACCTCCCAATGGCTTTTATGCCTCTAGTACCGGTCTGGAAATCGAACTTGCCATTGGACGTCCTCGAAGAAGCCAACAAATACGTTCGCACGATCTTGAGTGTCTGCCAGGCTCCCAATCCAGCCGCTCGATGGATGCATGCTGGATGGTTCTGGGTTTCCTGGGGTATGGTACTGCGTCCCAGCCGGCGTATTTGAGTAGCCAATCCAACCAAACAGCACGATCTTTCTTTCCAGAGTTGCGAATACGACCCTGTGATGCTTGTTCTGCTTTTTGATCCCCGCGCCTGCGGGCCATGGAGCGATCCTCTATCAAATCCAGTGTGCGCACGCTTGTCCACGACTGCTTCGCTAAAGATGTTCTCCTTGGCAACGTACTGGCAGCTTGTTGAAAACTGCGTTGTAGACCTACGGTGGCACTGTTCACCGTATCCATTGGCTCTGGATGCGCGTCGTAAGCATCGAGGAACATAGATACAAATTTCAACCTGACCGCTGGATCATTCAAGCTATTCGTGTCCGCCTTCGCCTTCCGAGGGAGATGCTCCACATTGAACTCCAAATTTGCCTGCAATCACCAAATAATGCTGGCTGCGAAGACCATCGCTCCGGCTGGCCCAAATGTCGGCAAACGTATGGCATGCAGTTTGATGGCAAATAACATTGTCTATTTGAGAGAACTTTGAACGACATACTTCGTCGTCAGACGGATTCACACCCGAGATTTCTGCATGTCACTTTCATACCTATCCGGCTGCTCGTGGAACGTGCTCGCAGTGGCGAGGTCAAGAGTGTCTCTAGTGCTAGGGCACCCTGTGCTATGGAAGCCTGCTATCTCTAGTGCTAGGGCACTCTGTCCTCCCCCCCCTCTTCCTCCTCCCCGCCGAAGCCGCCCGCAGCCTTGGCGCCGGGGCCCCAGCCCCTCGCCCCCCCCCCCCGCGGACTGCGCCCCCTCCCGCGGGGCTGGCCCGCTCCTCCTCGAACGAGAAAATGCAGGCCTCGTCGTGGTCCTGCGGCTGGCGCTTCCTCCTCCCCCCCCTTCCCCCCCCCCCTCTCCCTTTTTTTTTTCTCTCTCTCTCTCTCTCTCTCTCACTCTCTCCCTGAGGGTGAACGAGAAGGGGGAGACTCGCTCGGGAGGACGGCTGATGGACAAAATCCTGCACCTTTTTACGCTGATTTGTGTGAAAACCCCCCTCGCCTGATGTGTCGATTTGTCGATCTGTCGATCTGTCGACTGGCCGACATGCCGTGCCTCGCGGGCGATGCCAACCAATACCGAGTCGGAGGCAGCGGGGCGCGTTGAAGACTGCGCCGGCAACCCAGTCGCTCGGGTGGTGCAGGATGTTGTCCATGGCCATCAACCAGAGAGCATTGACCTGAAATCGGGGATACTGAGCATCGTTTATCCGATCCCCATCCCCAGCGGCGTGGCCTGGGCCCCACTGGCCGATTTACCCCACCAGATGGGGATGTAGGTCGTTCCCTTCGAGTTTGGAGGGGTGTATCCCCAACTGGGGGGGTAATTTGGTGGGGTCTCGAAGAGGATGGAGATGGGGATGGGGATCGAATAAACGATACCGAGATACGTCGCCGACAGATCGGCGATAGAGGCCCCGGACCGCGAGCACGCACGCTCCTGGACGGGCTGGGCTCCCGAGCCCCTATCGGCGATCAATGAGAGATTGCAGGTGGTTGCATTCCCCCCTGAGCCTGTCCCACTCGAGCGCTGTCTCTGACCCACTCTCTCTCAGCATACCCTCTGCGCCAAATACAGGCCTCGGAGGAAATTGGCCAACCCTCACGCAGCATTCATCTTTCAATGCCCTGCCCCCAAATGATCAAACGTTGGCGGTGGGTTGAATGAGCTGCATTTGGACCGCAGCCTTTCCCGCGCGCGCCAACTTCGAGTCTGGGGAAGTGGGGGAAGTGTCCACAAATTGTTTCCTTCGACCGTAGCTAGAGGCAGGGGGACAGTGTTCCCCCCCCCCCCGACGGAGGTCCACCTCTGATGGGCCTGTTTTCCACCACCACCACCATAAATTGGAGGGGGGAAGGAGGTAGAGGATGAGGAGGAAGAAGAAGGGGAGGAGGACCACCTCCCCCATCCAACTTATGGTGGTGGTGGTGGGAAACAGGCCTATCAACCTCGCCTCGTCGGAGCACCCGCGGCGCCTGGGAGGGGAGAGTCGAGCTCCTCCGGCGCGCGGCGCCTGCCAGCGACGATGGGGAGCCGGCGGTTCATGGCCCCCACAGGGACTCCACCGAAGGCCCTGGTGGCTGTGCTCACATGCGTCCCGCGCCACCCAGTACGGCGTTTCGCGGTCGTCGTCGTTCGTCGTCGTCGTCGTCGTCGTCGTCGTCGCCGCCGTCGTCGTCGTCGTCGTCGTCGTCGTCGTGGTCGTCGTCGTCGTCGTCGTCGTCGTCGTCGTCGTCGGCGGCGGCGGCGTCGGCGTCATCGTCGTCGGCAACGGGTTGGCGCCCCCCTGGAGGTCGGAGGTCGAAGCAGACATGGTATAGCAGCTCTGTCGAGGTGCTCTCGGGGTCGAGGAAGGCGGAGGCAGAACGGGAGGTACAGACCAGCACGTGCAGAGCACCAGGATCACTAGGCCACGTGCCCCCTACAGTCAGCCAGAGCGGTTTGGCCTGTTCGCCAAGGGGGCCGCCACGCCGTGTACGGGCCCATCTACACATGCATGCGAAGGCATAACCCGACACGTTAGAGCACCCTCATCTAGAAGACGCCACAGGGGGATGCTGGAACATGCAGCGGTGGGATGCTCACTGCTCGGCAGTCCTCCTCCACCTCCGAAATCATCCTCTACTCCTCAACCTCCTCTTCCTCTTCTTCCTCCTTCTCCTCCGCTCCTCCATCTCCCCCTCTTCACTCTTCCTCTTCCATCGTCCTCACCCACCTTCCACATTATCCTCCCTCGCTTCATTATCCCTTTTCTCCTCTCACTTTGTCATCCCCTCTCCTGACTTCCCTCTCTCCCTGGCCCCATCCCTAATTTGGATCACCATCCCACGTCCCCCCCTCAGAGGCGGGCGAGACAGTATCAGAGGCGACGACGACCACCACCAGCACCACGACCATGACGAAAACGACCACGACGACGATCGTGACGGCAACGAACAACGACCACCTCGCAAACATGTGATCCCAAAAGCAATGTTGACCTTCATTTGTTGCTCCCTCTCCCCTTGTACTCGCAAGCGAAGCCTATGAACCAAACCACTTTTTGGAATGGGCTTGTTTCCGCACCAGCTCCCAGGAGAAGCATTCCGCAGCGCACTCTGCGTGCGCACAACGCGCCGCGATGGCGGCAATGCGAGCCAACGCGCCCGCGGGCAACTCAACAACTTGATTGAATTACAAGGGAGTCTCGGGCGAGAGCGCAGTTCCTCGGCTTCGGGGCCTCTCTGGCGAGGGCATCTCGGAAGAAAAGTGTGGGGATACTATCGAGCGGGAGCGGCTGTCATCGCAGGCGGGCCGTCACGCACGAACGGGACCGAATCGCGAGAAGGTGTCGGGCGAGAGCGCCGTTCCCCAGCTTGGGGACATATCTGGCCAGAGCGCCTCGAAATAAAGTATACAGGGGTACCACGCGGAAGCCGTTGTCATCGGAGCTGTGCCGTTGCCAACTTGATTGAACTGCGTGGGAGTCTCGAGCGAGAGTACTAGGGGTCTCTCTGGCCAGGACATCTGGGAGTACATTGCGAGGAAGTATCAAGCGGGGGCCGCAGTCGTCGCAGCTGGGTCGTCACCTACCTGGTTAAACTGTGAGGATTTCTTAGGCGAGAGCGCCGTTCCTGAGTTTGGGGGCCTCTCTGGCCAGGGCATGTTCGAGGAAACTACGAAGAAATAATATCGAGCAGGAGCCGTTGTCGTCGCAGCTGGGCCGTGACAAACTTGAACAATTCGCGAGAAACTCCTGAGCGAGAGCACCCGATCCTGAGCGTTGTCGTCGCAGCCGGGCCTTGACAAACTTGAACCATTTGCGAGAAACTCCTGAGCGAGAGCACCGTTTCTGAGTTGTGGGGCCTCTGACGGCGGCAGGGGGGGTGGGCAGTGGAATGCCACTCCTTGACAAAAACATTGCCCCGATCTGTGGCCGCCGCGATCGCCGCGGCGAACTCCAAAACCGACCCGGAGGCTTGGTTCGGACTGAATAGCACGCAACGATGAAGGGCGTGGCGGGCTCAGCTCGAGGGACCAGGAGGAGCGGTCGCTCGAAAGATTGCGCCCCGCAAAGCGCAGGCACACCATGGCGATTACCAGTATTTCGCCAGGCTGAGGCAGCGCCACTGCCGAGCCCAGAGAGGAAGCATGCGATCGCGAAGGAGCTGATGCTGGGGAGTTCGGTCAGAGGAGCGTTCGACGTGGCAGAAGATCATACGCTCACCGCAGCAGCCAGTGCCCTGCCAGTGCAGACCAGCAGCGATATCACGCAGCGAGGCGGCGAGCGCTGCGCCCCGACGGCGTCCTCGCTCTCGCCGTCGGCCCGCGGGAAGTCTCCCTGAGACGCGCGGGCCGCGGGGGGCGGACGCGGAGGAGAGAAACCCGCCGCGGGCGGCGCAGGGCGAGGCGGCGGCGGGAGGGTGCGGAGTTGCAGCCAGCCCTGCCACTACAGGGCAGAGCTCTGGGAGACCAGTAGGAGCCTGCTTTTGTATTATCCGCGATGACGGGCGTGATCGGGGGGGGGGGGGGGGCCGATCACATCACGGCGGGTTTAGGCCTGCCGGGGCCTTTTTCGAGCCCCGGGGCCCTCGGGAGGAGGAGGATAAGGAAAAGGGAGAGGGAGCAGAGGAGGAAGAGAGGATTGAGGAGGAAAAGAAGGAACAGCAGAAGAAGCACGAGCAGGGGAACAGGGAGGACTGAGGAGAGTACCCGGAAGATCACGAGCAGGAGGGGGGTCAGGAAGAGGAGGAGGAGGAGGAGGAGGAGGATCTGCAGAAGGAGGAGGAGGATCAGGAGGAAGGGGAGGAGGAGAAGGAGGATCAGGAGGAGGGAGAATCCAGAGGAGGGAGGACCACGAGAATGAGGACGGCCGTCAGGAGGGGACGGACCCCCTCGAGGAGGAGGATCAGGAAGATCCCCGAGGTCTCCCCCACCCTATCCTTCACGCTTCCCCCCAATCGGAGGCTTCGACAGTCATCGGAGTCGTCGTCATCGTCGTCGGAGTCGTCGTCGTGATCGTTGTCATCGAGGTCGTAGTCGTCGTCGTCGTCATCCCCCTCCTCCTCCTCGTTCTTGTTATCAACCTCCCGGTCGCGGACAACAGCGACGACGACGAATTCCTGGGAAACCCTTGAGATTCTATGGAAACCCTGGAAGATTCCTTGAGACATGTGGGGAAAACAGCGTGACGTGATCGGGGGGGGAGGGGCGGGGGCGATCACGAGCGTTATCGCCCAGACTCTAAAAAAAATGGCTCTAGGTGACGACATCCGAACCCTACCCCCACCAACCATCGATTCTCCTGATCGATGGGAGGCGGGACCAGGGTTCGGACTTCGCCAAGCGTTCGGCGAATTCCGAACTCTACCCCGGCCGCCCATCGAGTTGCCTGAGTCGCGGATCGCCGAGGGTAGGGTTCGGACTTCGCCGCCGAACCGGCGGGGCGTCAGAACGTGAGGGATGTGCTGAGGAAAACCCTCACGTGGTCGGCGGGGATGGCGGGCCTCGCGACAACGCTGGAAAGCTGGAGAAGGACCACTCGAACCCAAAAACCAAGGGGTCCCCCAAGCGCATGGCACGGCGGGGGCGGGAGGATGCGGATCAGGGATCGACCGAAACAGCGTTGCGCGGTTTCGTGTCGTTTTCGCTGAGGCGTCTGAACGAAAACGGTCCGACCGACTGCCCAAGAACAGCGTCTTGGTGCACATCCGAACGTGTGATTGGCCAGGGGTGAGCCCCAGAATAAAAACAACGCGAAAACGCAGCGAAAACGGAAACGACCCACGAGATTACCTAAATTATGTTACTTCGAGCGATCCCCACCGAAACCTG